CCAGGATTCCATTCCAGACACATCATCATCAGGTTGACGTCTCCCACCGACACCACTCCGACACCACTGACACACCACTGACACCGACCTCCACCCGTCCTTCTAATGCACTGGAGAGTCAGTGCGACAACCACTGCAGAACCTCTGCGTTCAAAAATGTTCTGATCCGATTCTTTGAACTCAAAACAAAAACTGAAAATTATTTTACCCATTTTCAGAAAAATGCACAGTGGCTCCACCTGCTGGAGCCGTGGATCTTGCTCTGGTTTTTTCTTGACCTGAGAACACCAGCGGTGTCAGCGAGCCTGTGTGGTCACCTCCACCCTGCCATACAGCGCCACCCTGGACCTCCCTCTGGGTGTCATCAGAGGCTCAACACGTGGCCTCGTCCAACATCCTGATCATCTTCTCCTGAAACTTGTACAGTGTTAACAAAAAAATATCCAGCGCTGCAGAAACTTTGCTTGGACAAACAGTAAAGGGAAAAAAAAAAATTGTAATTTTTTAAACATTTTTTTTTTCTTTTAGATAAAACTAGAATAGAATGGTCAAAAGATTAAACACTGATCTTTTGCTCTTCTTTAAGATGAAAACAAATTATGTACAACAACATTAACTGTACAGCTGTCTGTTTGGGAGAAAAAGAGAGAAAAAGAAAATCAGCAGAAGTGCCTGAAGAAAACGTTAGCAGTCCTGGGACGTTTTAAAACCTGTGACTGAAAAAGAGAAAAGAAAGAGAGAAAAAAAAGAACAATAAACTTTCCGTGACTGCTGCGCCCCCACAACGGCTGTTTCAGTTCCTACATCGGTATGTCTCCACACAGTCGTGATAAATCTCCCATCAGGGCAACAGAGAGGGGCAGGGGAGAACACCGACTCAACCACCGGGTCCACTGTCAAATCTGTAATCTCTGAAGATCTGAGGTGAGCGTCCTGCTGCTCCCCGCCTGAGACCTGACTGCAGGACAAAACTCTTGGTCTGAAGTCACTGTCTGGGTGTCTGACTTCACTGTAAGCCCCCACCTGTATGTATGTGTGTGTGTGTGTATGTGAGAACCGAGTCTGTATGGGGGGGAGGGAGGGGGGGGTCTTCAGGCTATGTGGATTCTGGCCTTCTCTGTTTCCTTCAGCCTCTTGGCCTGCTCCTCCACGGGCGGAGACAGGGGTCTTTTGGAGGGGGCTCCGTTCAGTGGGTCCAGTCCCCGGCTGACTAATGTGGGGATGGAGCTTCCAACAGAGGGCGCTATGTGTTTAGATGCTCCATGTTCTACACACAAAAAAAAAAGTAAACACCAAATATTTGTTAGTAAACGATGTGTCCCTGTGAGTAGTTAAAGATCTGAAGTCCAGTCTGACTGATGGTGTTCTCACTGGCTTTGAAGGAGAAGTTTCTGGAAGACCTCCATCACTCACACCTTCTACATTTTGACAAAGACAAATCCAATCTTTTTTTAATCACTAATCTCTATCTGTTCTAATCTTATTTATTGATTAAGTTTCTTCTTCATCATAATTGTATAAAAAAGTATTTTTGTCAGTAGTACTAAAATACTTCAAAACATAGCACACTAATGACACCTGCTGGAAAAGATTAAAAAAAAAAAAAAAAAAGGACACTCACTGGAGCCAATGACAGGAATGGACATGCCTTTCTCTTCACCGGCAGCAGGGGCGTCAGTGAGGCTGCTCTCACACGTTTGCTTCGGAGGTGTGATGCTGTGTGACACCAGAGATGGCGATCATGTTAAAATAGAAAAACAATAAAAAAAACAAAGGCCATGTTAAAATAGAAAAACAATAAAAAACAAAACAAAGGGGCACATGTTGTTGCCATGGTAACCAGTGACGCTCACCTGTGTCGATTTAGGGCCAATTTGATGGAATTCTTTACAACACGGCAGCTGTTGCTGGTTGGCAGTGGGGAGGAGGCGTCTGGAAGCTCCATGCTAGGAAGTCTCTGAGGAAAGAGGAGAAGAGTTTGGACTCGTTTTAGTTACTACGACCAGGGCAAAAATAAATAAATAAATAAAAAATCAGAGCAGGTGATGTTTCACCAAATCTGGTACCTGTGTTCTTGAGGTATCGATTGTTGGAATGGGCTTAGCTTTTAATCCAGAAACAGGAGTCTGAGGGTCAAAGGTCACATGAATCAAACCATTGTCTATGGTTACACAAATCAACCCCATAAGAATAGAAACGGGGAGACCTACATTGGGTCCATCTCCTTGTACAAAGGAGTCAGAGCTGGGTGGATACGGCTCCTTAAATATGGAGTCGTCGTTGGACACCACCTGCCACACAAACAGGAGTCATCAGCACGAGTTCATCGCTAATCTGACTGGAAGCAAAATGGACCGGTTTAGAGGGGAGACACTTGTCCTCACCTCTGCGTCTTTGTGCCTCTTGGCCACGTCCTCTTGTGTGGGTGAATGTGGTCTCTTGGCAGGAGCTCCGTTGACGGAGTCCTCCAGTCCGTTGGGCTCCTCTTTGGGGCTGCTGGTGGCATTAGGGTTCACGCTGCTGCTGCTGGCTGGTGGGGAGGGAGGCCTGGCTTTCACTGGAGGTTCTGCAGAGTAAAAGAGCAGCGTCAGCGATTTAGACTGGACCAGCTTTCCTCTTCTCCTTCAGGATGGACCACACAAAAAACTGTAACGAGCTGCAAAAAATGGACAGTTGAACTCACTGGAGCCAATGACAGGGATCGACATGCCCTGGTCTGTGGCAGCAGACTCTGGCTCCTGCTCCTGCCGCCGATGATGATGATGCTGATGCTGCTGCTGCTGGTGGTGTTGCTTCTGCTGCACTGGCCATCGGGGAAACTTCTACAAAAAGCTGTTTAGGAGGACTGACGCTGAAAAGTCAAGAGAAAAATCAACAATTATTCAACGGACAGACATCGACCGCAGGACAGAGTTGATTATCTGTTTATTTACGTGCTCATTATAGAATGTAAATAAATGACTACCTGTCGTCAGTGTCTGATGTGGGTTTTAAAGGTTTGTTGGTGGGGGAGCTGAACGGCGTCCCAGAGTCCGTGTCCCTGGAACTGTCCAGGTGACTGCTGTCCAGAGAGATCCGCTTGGAGCTCCCACCGTTGGAGCTGCGGTTCAACTCTGCTATGCTCTGCAGAGAGAGGACGAGACAAGGGGATAAAAAGACACATCACAGGTTGGGGCCCGAAATGAAGCAATGCATGCTGGGAACAGTTCATACCCTCTTCTTCCTCTGCACCACCTCAGGAGGGAGATACTGATGGAGCTGTTTCTTCCTCACGTGCGTCGCTTCGATTCTCATCCCGTCCTTCAGCATGTTGATGTTGTTAGCTTGTCTGTACACTGGACACAACAGTTCACTGTTAACATCAATCAACAGCACCAGGACTGACAGGTCCTTTGTTTTGATTTTTTTTTTTACATCTGTTGCTGTTAAGAAATAACATTTGTTTATAAAGTAAAGGGTCAAAGGTTAAAGAACATAAAGACTGAGGAGAGTTCCAGAACTTTACCAGTGTCTGTGAAGGACTGGATGTCGTACGTCAGGTCAATGTTCACACTCTCAGCATTCTCCACTTTCTTGAAGATGATCCCGATGAACCACATGGACACAAAGTCGTTCCTGTCGGGGGACGGTAAGGGTTAATGAGTCACGTGTTTCATCCTCGTTAGTGAAGGATTCAAAAAAAAAAACACGTGCACGGACACAACTGGACTTACTCGTTGCGGTTTTCCTTGGACCCTGGGAAGGACTGGGGATTGACGTGGGCCAACGTGATGTACTCGTTCCTCTCCAGGTTTCCCACAAGAACACGGATCTTGGACTCCACCAGACCAATCCTGAGGTTAAAAAAAAACAGACCAAGTCACCTCCACTGTCTCAGCTGACACGTTCAACTCTGAAGAACTCTTTCCTCACCATTCTAAGTGGTTTTCTTCCGTGGATGCACTGGCAGTGAGGACTATGTAATGTCTGCAACAAAAATAAAAACGATAAATTCATGAATTATTTTTTTCCCCTATTTTATCCAAACACCGTTACTGACAAACACCAAACCTACTTGTATTTCTGGAAAAAGTTTGGGGGCTCGAACAGCTTGGACCACTCTGCCTTCCCTTGGAGAATCTCGTCTGTGATGCTGAGGCCTGGGGACAGCGGGACATGGACAGTCAGTGTTGAAGCCAGAACTCACCGCAGCACAGACCTGATGATGAAGGGATTCAACTACATACCATATTTGAACTCCTCACTCATGATGGTGCGCGTCGACGTGGAGACGTTGTAGGTGGAGTTTTGCTGAGGATAGGCAGGTGTAATGATGGGCATCAGGTGATACCTGTCGGACGGATTGACCTAAAGATGGAGGTGGGGGGAGGAGGGGGGGGTACAGAATGAAGCCAGTGTTTACTCCTTGTCATTTAGTAGAAAACATACACAGGTGTAATGACACTGACCTCTGACCAGTATGATGTCACAGTTTAACAAACCATGTACAAGCAGAATAAAGAATATTTCATCAAAATGTAAATATTTAATTTTTAACAATAATATAATAAAACTATGTCTGTGCTGAACAACAACTGAAGGGAATGAACAAAACTGACATTTCAAAAATGTTTATTGCAGAAGTGACAGAACAGACACAAAAGTCAATGAATGCAGAAAAGAACTTTCAGAGACTGAAAGTGTTCACTGAGGTTTATTATGGTCTGGACGTGATCTCTAAGTCTTATTCACATCTTTCCACTGCTTCTCAGAGCAGACCAAAAGTGAAGCCATTTCAACAAAAACGTCTCATTTCCATCTGATTCGATTTAAACCTTTATTTATTCATTGTGCCTTTTTTTTTTTTTTTTTTTTTTAACAGGGCCCTGAACTGAAGGGACATGTCCATGGAGAAGGTGTTCCCAGCTCCCAGCACAGCTTATGGACTTTGGAACTCAGTGCCGACGACCAGATCAATGTCGTGGTCACATGAGGACAGACGTGAGGAGAGATGAATGAGAGAGCATTAGAGCAGCCTCTATTTCAGAGCATTTTTTTTTCTAATTAATTCAAATGGACAGAACCTTAATCCATTTAATCAGAAAAACTTGACTAATTTAAAAAAATAATACTGACGAAAAAAAAAAGAAAAACTTGACTAATTTAAAAAAATACTGACGAAAAAAAATCAAATTACTTATTTCACAGAACAGTTCTGAAGAGAAACAGAGCATCAAGTGTGTGTGTGAGATGTGTGTGTATAAACAGGACAACGAGCACTGTACTCACTCTGGGGTCCCACACTGGTAAATTCAGGTTACTGTCCTCGGGCTGTTTCAGTAACACAGGATTTGGCCACTCCCTACAGGAAAGACACCAACCTCAGGTGATACAGTCACACACTGCCATCATGAGGAACAGGAGGGAACAGCAGCTAAAGCAGCAAAAATCCATCCATTCTCACCATTTGGAGAAGACCAGGAAGAACTTGTGTACGAGTGTGGCAGCCACAGCGTTAGGGTAGAGCTGGCAGGTCCGGGCCACGAGCATAGCCCACGACACTCCACCCAGGAAACCCAGCATGTTGGAGTAGATCCCACGACCTACAACCACAGAGGAGAAAACCAAAAGTTAAGTGATTTGAACCACAGATCTGTTGGAGGCATGGAAAAGTCTGAACCAGGACAAACTGACGAATTAAACACCATTCCTTTTTCATGATTCCATTTCGAAACTGAAATGGTCTGTGAACCTCATCAACTGAAATTTTTCCCTTCAATGACAGAAGAGAAAGAAAGTCACATTTTTCTCCAGAAACACTGCACATCACCACTGATCTGCTCTGATTCAAAGTCAAACTGCTCTGGTCTGATTGACCTGGTTAACTGTTAATATATGAAACAACAGAAGAAGAGGAAAAAAATAGGAACTGGAAAGAGTTGTCACATGTTTTTATTAACTGATTCATGATGCATCATTACATCCTCATGTACATTAAAATGTTGGGTTATGTCGACTTGTATTTCTGTTGAACTAATGCATGTTTTTTTAATAGTTTGATTTAAAGAGTTGTATGACAGTTCCACACATGTTTGAAGTCAACTTACGTTTTGCCCACAGTTTGATAGCTCTCAAGGTCAACCTGAAGTTTTCTTTGTTTGGCACCAGGTACAAAATTTCGTCTGTCACTCGACATCCTGGGGAAAAAAAAAATTACAAAACTCAATTATTAAATACTCATAATTGTGGCCTGAGACTGTTTATTAGTTAAATGCATTTTACTCATAATTGTGGCCTGAGACTGTTTGAAAATTAGTTAAATGCTTTCAAGTCCTGCACACAATGATGAGCTGTATTGTATTTTAACGACAAGACATATTTCAAATAACTATCTAAGTCTGGTAAACTTTTCTCTTCCTTAAATGACAGATTCAAAAGTCCATGAATGTGAGTCAGTCAAACAGGTACCATTAAGGCTGCGGATACAGCGAATGTCCAGATTTCTCAGGATAGAGTCTCCTCTGAGGTCTAGGTTGTCTGGAATGGATTGTAAGGCCAGTCTGGCAAAAAGCAGGTCAATCTGTTCAGGAGGAAACAGAACAGGAAATGGAATGAGATCTGCTCCAAACCATTCACTCAGTGTCAGAGAGTCACAACAGAAAGCAACTTACCTCAATGCCATCAAACTTGAATTTTATCACAGGTACAAAAGCATCTTCAACAGCCTTTACACCAGAAACACAGACAAAGACAATTTCAGAAAGCGGTCTGGGTCAAACACACTTTATAACCATTATATATGTATATAAACCAAATAAGAGAGTGTAAACAGGCAGGGTGAGTGTATGTTTTAACACAATTAGAAAAAAAACCTACACATCATGGTAGACAGAGAAACTCACCCTCAGGTCTTTGATTTCTTCGTGCTGTTTTAATTTCTCAAAGAACGACTGGAAAAAGTCACTTCTTTCTACGTGACGTGGAGCCACACACAAGGCATCAATATCAGCCCCTGAAATAAACAGTCACTGTGATCAAGGTCTTGTTTGAAGTAATGATAAAAATCCCACATATTGTATTGCTCCCTGGGAGACAGGAAGGTGCATAAAACAATAAGAGTAAACTAGGTTTAAGAGGTATATGGAACGAAAACAAATGACAATTATAAATATCACCGTTCTAAGCATATCCAGGTGGGAAGTGTCGTGTTACCATTTTTAAAATATTCCTAAAGTCCAGACAATCAAATATTTTGGTTGACATGCCTGAATAAAAATCTGATAAGAAAAATAAAACAAGTTCATGCCTGTGAGGCACAAGGTCTTGAATTGTAATACAAGTACATAGGAAAATATGATGCAACCAAGGTCAGGCATTCACTCGACCTTGTGTTAACTCTGTAACAGCTAGAAGTGCTGACAGTTTTTAAAGTTAATCACTTAATCAGGAGTTTTTTAATGTTGCATCCTGACATATCACAGCAATCAGCACTGAATGACGTAGGCTAGAGCTCCACGTACCTTTAGTGTGAACTCCAAGACGATATGAACCAAATGTAAATATCTTGCCCCCAACACAGCTAATGGCTGATGGTGGAAGATTCTTTAAGAAGCAGAAACAATCAAGTCACTTTTAAAAAACAAGACAAAAAAAACTATGATGTCTAACAGAATGTCAAAACAGATACCATACCTTTAATTCACTAATCTCTGCGATCCACTCTTTGACAAAGTTATTTAACTTCCCAAGAACTGCAAGTCTGAAAGGAGACACAGCTTCAGGCTAATGTGTGACTGACACAGTAAAAACATGAAGCTTTAAATGACAACTTCACACAAAAAATACTATAATTAATAAATTTGGTTCGAGAACATTCATTTTCTCATGTCACTTTTTCATTGTAATCCAAAGTCCAGTCATTGTCTCAACTCCGTCAAAGATAGAGTTGAACTTTTTTAATGTCTTTTTTTTCTGGTTCAGACCATAGAAAAGAACAGTAGTAGATTGCTTTGTTCTGGCCCGTGTTCATGGTGTCAGTGGTCGTGTTTCACCTGCCATTAAAGAAGTCAAAGAACAACGTGCATGACCACAGCCTGGGTGAAAGAACTTTAACCAAACTAGTGTTAATGACTCACCGATGGTTCAGCTCCTCTTCATCTTCAAATACCCCAAACGGTTTCATTGCATCACAAAGCTTCTTGGTGTACTGGTGGTCAATTTCTCTTGGAGGAGCGAGGCTAATGGCAGAGGTGATGCCATAATGTTTCTGAGGCTGCTGCCCACCAGGCATGTTGCTGCAACGAAGGTACCAGCAATGCATGAATGACAGGTAGTATACAAGGAGACACTGCTAATAATTACATTACAATACATTTAGCAGACACTTTTATCCAAAGCCACTTACAATTTGAGTCAGTCAATAAACAATCACGCTGCAATAATGATCTTTCACATGTGTTTTTATTCCTTTAAATTTGTTATACACGTGGAAAGGTCCACAGTAGGACAAAAGTAAACAACATAAAAAGTTCTTTCAAATGTGTATTACTTACAGTAGTTTAGTATTTCTTTTAATACTCAATATACTGATACAAAATGCCTTGTGCTGAACGTAATGGGGTTCATTCTACAGTGTAGCCATTGATGACAGATTTACATTTGTAAACATTCAATTTGTGAGGATTTTGTCAACACTGTCTTTTAGTTTAAAAATAATAATGTGCCCATATATTTCAGTATTGACCAACTAAACGTCGGCATATATTCATTTCTGAGCTAACATAATGGGCTTTTGAGCGAAATACAGTACCTCTCGTTCCTAACAGCGCGCATTCATGTGTAAAAACTTGCAACATTGTGGAAGCAAATGGTTTAATTGATTAATTGAAACACGTGCTTAAACGACGAAACATGTATTTGCACATACGAATTGGTCAAAAATTCGAGAAGGCGATTTTACTAAGCCCATATTCAGCTTCAGCTGGTAGGAAAATAAAGCTAGCTTAGTTGCTACAAACAGCGCTGATAGACTAGCCAGATTTGCGAGATAGCGCATGTTAGCCTACAGCTACGGAAGAATTACTCAAAATAATCGTTTACTTCCAAGTTAAACTCATTGGAAAGATGTAAAATGGCACTTCATAAAACACAGTGAACGAACCAAGATAATTTTGTAGTAGCTTTGCGTATTTTACGCAAAACAAACAAGGGGGTTAGCTGACAAACGGCGAACGCAGGCCGTGTTTGGTTGCTATGACAGTTAGCCCACGTTAGCCTTTTCTTCAAGACAGGGCTGCACGTCGTTTATTTGCTCGTAAGGTGAAAATGGACTCACCTTGACATCTCTTTCATGACACTCTGAAGGGGCTGTCCAGATTTTTCAGGTATAATCCCCCCAAAAAACTAAACAGAATGGGTGAGTGAAAATGAAAACAGCCTCGACCTGATTACAACAATGGTTACTTTCCACAGAGAGAACCGTTCAAACCTCACGCTGACCCGGAATCACTTCTTGTTAGAAGATAACGAACAAATCCGAAAAGCGGAAAAAATAATCATATCCAACTGGGTTTACAAAACGCATCTGCGGCTGTGGATGGACCCCAGCTAAACAATAGTCCGGCTGCAGTAAAGGACGTGTGTTTTTTTTTATTCAAAACTACAGGACAACCGGCGCGCAACACGCTCAGCACCTGGGAGGCGCCTCCTGGCTAGGCCACAGGTCACGTGATTAGTGATGAGAAATGATGCCGTTAGCATCGGCTATTCAGAGCTAGCTTCCACAATGTGCATCAAAGCACTTCCCAAAACGAGCTTCCATTTGAGGCCACATCAAAGTAAATCATTTGTATCATGTATAAATAAAAAAAACTTTGTTATGTACAGTGTAAAACACAACGAACTGCGATTTGCGGCGACATTTTACTTTAGAACGTGTTGACATCATGGACGCACTAACGCTGTGGTATACTGTTACTCAACTATTACAAACTGATTTTAATTTGTATTTCTAATGTATTTTAATAAAGATGGAAAAAATGTCTCTGAAACGTGTTTTATTAGAAACAGATGGAAAAAATGTCTCTGAAACGTGTCCATAAATGTAGTTTTATTTATATATATATGACGTAATTAATTAAGATATGTCAGTATTTGTTTACCTTTTAGTTTTTCCTGTATTTAGTGGCTTCATCTGGTTTTACTTTACTGCTATTAGATATTTCTAATAAACATTTATATAAATCCTAGGAAGAGCCCCTCCAAGTTTGTGAATTTTTTATATTGAAGATACATAATGGTTATAACAACAATAAAGACTATTCTATTCAATTTTATTCTATAAACCGTCTATCTACTTGTGGACATCTGTCTTACTGGTTAGTTTCCATTGTGTCAGTTGTGTTTTACCATGTGTTGCTTGAAATATGTTACTATAATGATACTGGTTTCTATAATGTTTGGTTTCTATTTAATTTGTTCTTTAACATGTTTGACATGTCTGTGGATTATTCTTCAAACACCGGTTATACCTGAGTTCTGTGGAAGACAGACATTTGCATATTCACCACATTGTATTTCAGTTAAAACTTACTGCAAAAGTAGGAATTAAGTAAAAAAAAAAAGTAGGAAGGAGACAGGAGTAAAATTCTGTCATTTCAAAAGGTCAATGGTCTGTTACTTGGTTGAACCATTAAAAGCAACCTTTCACCTGTTGGGTTAACTAAGCCCCTCCCCATTTGCCCTAAATCTGCTTTAACGTAGTGGAACTGAGTGTCAGTCGCATTGTTTGATCAAGTCAGACAAGCTGACGTTGAAAAGTTTCTGCCAGCGACCTTGACTACTTCATGACAAAATGAGTGAACGTTCTCTCCTGGTGAATGTGGAAAAGTGGATCGCTGACAATCAGAATGCTTTTCTACCACCAGTGTGCAACAAACTCATGTAAGTAAAGCTGGGGTTTGGGTTCTACTACTACAGGTTCTACCACAGGTTCTAGGCATGTTATGTTTGTGTGCAGTTAAAGTTTCTATTTTCTTATAGGCCATCATTAATAATATTTACAATTTTCTTTTACTGTGATATCAATAACAAAACACTTGCGCAGTAGAAAACTGAACAACAAAGCGTGAAGTGAACACAGGAATGTAGATGTTTTTCTGATTCCTCAGGCACAAATACCAGTTGAACATCATGTTTGTCGGAGGTCCAAACACCAGGAAAGATTATCACATTGAAGAAGGAGAGGAGGTAAGACATTAGCAGCAGTGTGTACAGCACGTCCTACTGCTACTAGGAATATTTACTTATTTCAATTTGGATAAACAATACCAGTTCGATCAGACCTAGTTCATTTTTATTCATATCTACAACATGGATCACTCTTAAAATGCCCCCTAGAGGGATCAGGGGGCATTTTAAGAGTAACCCATGGTGTTTCATTTGAAGCAGGGAAGTTCTGTAGTTGCAGTAGAAAAGGTTCAACCTTTGCTCCCTGTCTGTGATGAACCTTTTCACTGTGGCGGATCTGGGAACGAACCTAACGTTATATCTGATGGTCTTAACAACGTAACCACACTCAACCTAACGTTATATCTGATGGTCTTAACCACGTCACTCCACACTCACTGATCCATGAACCTGAGAGCTCTGTTGTTTTGATTTTCTACTTGAAACAGTTGTTCTATCAGCTGAAGGGAGACATGTGTCTGAAGGTGATTGAAAACAACAAACACAAGGATGTGCACATCAGAGAGGGGGAGGTGAGCTGATGATAGGACAGACAGGATGAAAATAATTCACAAATTACAATCAGAAAATAAAATATTTTTAGCCCGTGTGTCTCTCCCCACTTCCTGTCTAGATGTTTCTGCTTCCAGCTCGGGTACCTCACTCTCCACAGCGACAGGCCAACACCGTGGGACTGGTGGTGGAGAGGAGACGACTGCTGACTGAAACTGACTGCCTGAGGTTTCCATCTTCTCTTCTCTCTTCTATTGTAGTTAATATGAAGCAGGTAAGAACGTTGAGTCTCACCGAGTCTTTTGTCTCAGGTATTATGTGGAGAACACCACAGACATCCTGTTTGAGAGATGGTTTTATTGTGAGGATCTGGGAACTCAACTGGTTCCAATTATCAAAGAGTAAGTTGTTTTGACTTGGACATCTTAGACTTGAACACCTTTTCATGTCTTGATTTGGACCTGAATCTTGAGTGAACTTTCACTGAAACTATCGCCAACTTTCTCTGTCCGATATTCACACACTTACAGGTTCATGGCATCGAAACAGTACAGAACCGGAAAACCCGAGCCCAGTGAGTTGGTTTGCGGTTCATGTGATTCCTGTCAGAAGGTTCCAGTAGGTTCCATCATCAGTGTTGTTTGTTGAACAGATGAAGTCTTCCGACAGCCCCTCTTCCATCTGAACACCGTGGAGTTGATGTCACCCTTCTGCTTCAGAGACTGGCTGAACAAACAGAAGCTCTCGCTGACCAGTGGCCAGACCATTGACATGTTCGGAGCTCAGTTTGAGACTGAGGTAATGGATCACAGACTTGAAGCCTTTCTGTCATCTTCCTGGTACTGAGCTGGTATTAGTTATTGTTGAGATTAAAAAAAAACCAACATGTTTATACTCCTTAAAGGACTACTTCTTACTTCTTACAGGTCATGCTGTTTGGACATGGACAGAGTGAGACAACAGTGTGCCAGAGTGATGTGTGGATTTGGCAGATGGTGAGTGTACTAACATGACACTGACAGGACTGCTTACATTTATTTTGTTGCTGTTTTTGTTTACTTGACCTTTGACCTTGGGGTATTCTGACCACATATTTCTGACTTTTGTTTTGTTTCACTTCACCTTCTCTCTGTTCCTCTTTCAGGAAGGATCCTCTAGAATAACTATGAATGGACAGAACCACCATCTCTCTGCAGGAGAGAGTCTCCTACTGCTTGAACAGAGCCAGTCAGTCAAACATCAAACAAAAATATGTTGTAGTTTGCATAGTTTTGAACAAAATAGTTAAAACATAATGACTGACATGATGAATATGGCATAATTTTCAAAACATAATGACTGACATGATGAATATGACTGAGTCAATCACATTTAAAAAAAACAAACTTGAATAAATATTTTTGTCATCTCCGCTCCTGCAGGTACTGCTGGGACAGAGATGGAGAGACGGTTGCTCTGATGGTGATTCAGAACCCAGAACGGAAGAGACCCTGAGCTGCTGACATGGACATGAACTCAACATAAAATGTTACTTTAACTTTTGTAAAAAAGAATTTGACTGTAGATCACCCCAAATCATGTCAACTATGCACCAAATACTGAATTGAAGTCATAAACCTCCATGTTGTGTTAATCACTGTGAAAACTGACCCTTTTTAAATGTTCATTTGAACATGAAGGCGTAAAAACTCAACTCTGAGTTTTCACCGAACCTGTAGTTTAACTACAAAACTGGTCAAACATTTTTAAAAAACCCTAGCTTTTCTTTATGGTCAAAGCTTTTTAATTTGTGAAATATCTTTGTCTAATGGCAACCAAAAATAAAGCAAATGAAATCCAAGGATAAGGTCTCTGGAACAAGTACATCATTCCAGACTGGTCTCAGCTCATTTGTGCAGTCTCATCCTCAGCGTGTTCCTGATCACGTGCTGCTCTGCTACAAAAGACGCCACAGCCCAGGGAACGGCATACTCCAGAGTAACCAAACCTCCCAGGTTGTACTTAAAGGCAGAGTAGTCCCAGGGACAGGCCCTGAGCAGCTGCAGTACCGCCCCCCAGCTCAGCTCCCAGGAGTAGATGAACAGCGTGTAGGTCGCCAGACGTACATGCAGCGGCTGACGTCGGGCCAGGAGCCACGATCTCAGCCCCTCCATCAGGTAGATTGCAGTTGCGTACATGGGCAGAGCCCACAGGCTGCTGTGACCTGCCAGCCTCCTGTCCCGGGTGCTGCACCAGTCCCACACAGCAGTGAAGGCCACCTCACACAGGCAGCCGTGAAGGGCGTACACGTAGAGTCGTATTAGAGCGGACAGAGGACGAGGCTGCTCCACTGGGCTCTCATCACCAACACTGGTTCCTGTCACAGAGAGACATTGGTTCACATCCACCAAATAAACTGAATCTAGAGTCAGCAAATACAGTAAAATCTTTAAGTGAAATCCACTTATAGAATTGCAATATAATTCTGTAGAATATAAATAATATAATAATAATTATAAAATAAATATTAAAAAACACCTGGTTTAGTCAGGTGACTTATTTTTGTAGATTTTTTAAATATATATATATAATAAAAATCCAAAGATATTCACTGTGATCACTGATTCTGAAAGGAAACAAACTACTTATATAAATCATGTAGTAATTGCTACAGATCAACATTAATGTACAGCTGGTATTACAGATTTTCTTTGGTTCTGATGTAAAGTAGCGGCAGAAACAGATGCAGTCATCAGTTATCAGTCATGAAATTATTAGATTCACAGAATCCTAAAGCATAAAAACCGAGTCTCCGTTCAATTCATCACTGAATTTGTCGTCATTTAAATAAAGTATTTAATTTGACTCAATACAATTGTTGGAACCGACATTGTTTTAAATATGCTCTAACCTGACCTGTTTTCATATGTTCCTTCTCCACTGGACACGCTGCAGGCTACACTCTCTAATATGGATTAACAAGTCAATAATCCAGATTAGCTCAGTTATGGGCTGAGAAAACCTCTAACAACTCTGCTGTTAACGGAAGATCTGGAATACTTCAGTGTCACCGTCACTTTGTTTCATCTCTGTGTACAATACAGTCAAACAGCTCTAAAAGCATCGGCATCATTTCACAGATGAAACAAAAGTAACAGAATGACACCAACAGGTCAACGGTGTCTCTCAGTCGTTCACACTCAACAACTCGACTTTGATACAACAGAAATCTCACCTGTGTCATCTCCATCACCGACTCCGACTCTACACCGCTTCCTCGTCTCCATGCTGGGGCAGCATATGGATCTGTGCACCTTTTTAATCCCTGCACTTCCCTAAGTGTGTGTGTGTGTGTGTGTGTGTATGTGGGCTAAACATTAAGCTGCTTCACGTTATCAGACCAAGACAGTCTTTGTTACAGACTAAAAAGTTTTGATCCTGATAAAAAACAGGGGCAGCAAACACAGAACACCTGAAAAAGGTGTGTGTTCCTGTGCGTGTGTGTGTGAGACTGAGTGTGTGTAAGACTGAGTGTGTGTACTACCATGATCGATCTGTGTAAGACTGAGTGTGTGTACTACCACGAACATGATCGATCTCACAGGGCGTGCTTGAATGTTATCTTCCAAACCTATAGTAAATGTTTGATTAAGTACCCTGATGTGAAATCTGTGAACCAGAGGAAAAAACTAAAATGTGAAAAATGGACACATTTGTGGAAACACTGTTGAACAGTGTGATTGACCTCTTGTCATTTATTAGCTTCATGATCCAGGGTTTAATGCTCCACTGACTAACGGACATCCAGATGAGTCCACATTAAGGAACGGAGAACTGTGGTTCTGTGTGTCTCTGTGAGTCAACGACCACGGAGTTATGGAGCTGACGAAGGTCACTGCCTTGACAGTCACTAAGGTGAACGGGTCTAACTACAACTGTGTCCCCCCTTTTTTTATTTTCACAAATGGTAACAGAACGGATCATAATATGTAGTACGGAATATTTGTAGAACGGGATTTTTTTGGTATATTTTTTTAATCTGCGTAATACGTAATACATATTCTTTAAGTTTTATGACTACATATAAATGACAATGCTTCGCAGTATTAGCCATTCAAACTGCATTCAGACACATCGTGCACGTGTACGCATGCGCAGTTAATTTGGCTACTGGGTAGGATGAAACTTCACAACACCGGCTCATTCCAGTGGGCTGTGTTTGGTTATGGAACGTAGCTGTTTCACCCTCTTAAAGTCAAAGAGCAGGATTCACCGCTGCTCACTTTGAGTCATTAACTATCGACACCAGATGGTTAACATATATATGGGATTTACTATGAAGAATTAAGGAAAAAAGACAGCTCTTTCCTCGGCTACCCGCTGCTGACAACATGCTAACAACAAACCTCACTGTGCTCTGCGCATGTCCAGGACGTGTGTACAGCACTTCCTGTTCCGTCAGAAGAAACGTTCTAAATAAAAACGAAATAAAATTATTATGTATTCATACTTTCAACGTAATTAATTCTCGTTGTTTTCAGAAATCTAGCCATAGTAGAAGTTACCAGAGTGTTGACATAATCGCAGATTAAAATGTCACCGACGTCATCACATCATGACTTCAGTGCATGGTGAAAAAACGTTATGTGGCTATAACCTGCCGGGCTCCAGTAGCGCAATCGGTTAGCGCGCGGTACTTATATGACAGTACACAGTTGAGCAATGCCGAGGTTGTGAGTTCGAGCCTCACCTGGAGCAGAATTTTAAGCCATTATGACAGACCCTCTCACTCCCCCAGTACCACAAAACTTATGGCTCTGCTGCAGTTCATGAGAGATGGACTATTAGGTTTGGACAGAATTCTGTCCAAGTTGTCAGTTGTGATTGGATGTGAGGTTCGGAGACAGACACATTAGTTCATTTGTGGACAAAAAAGCATAAAGAAACAGTTTCTATTAAATTCAGAACAGAAAAGACCAATGACAATGTAATTAGACTGTACCTGAGGTGTTCACCTGTGGATATGAGACAAACTTACACATACACCACAACAACAGTTGAAGAGTTTTCATTTTGTCACCACTGCTTTAGGACTGTACAACAGCACTGTGTAATCTCTGCCGTGCTGAGTACGTAACAGGGACAGCGGTGGTGGTTTGGTGGTTGAGGCTAAGTCCTTATCTCTGTCCTCTATTCTGCTGATACGCAATAATTTCCCCCAGTGCGGGGTCAATACAGTTCAACAGGTTCAGGTTACATATGAAAAATGTGCAGAATTGTCTAAAGAGTTGAGAGTTCATGATTAACTTTATTCATCCCACACTGGGGAAACTGCTGACTGTTTTCACGGCAAGTCTTCAACAAAGGGTTAAAGAGGAGTTCTATTCCAGTCGCCCCTCCCTCTGTACCGAAGAAGACATAATTAGATCTTAAACTGAGGTCAGGACCAAAGGTCAGGTTAGAATCAAAGGAAAGCTGGACAAACAACTCTTGACAGGCACAGTGACAGTGGCTTAGACAAAATCTGTGTCTAGATTGCTGGTTGGATTAAGCCCAGGTGTCAAAAACATCCGCTGACAAAGGTGTTCCAGATTAGTTTGCCTTTCCTGCATCGCGGCTCGGTCGGATATCAGTCCATGTGGAAGCAGGACATCCGTCATCATGGCAGTAAACATCCCAGGAGTGATATCAATGGCCTTTTTCTACCTGTTGGTGCTGGGGACCGGCATCTGGGCAGCTTTCAAGGCCAGGAGGACACAGAAGAGAAGTGGAGCAGGTGAAATAGATATGACTCTGCTGGGAAACAGGAGCATCAACTGGATGGTGGGGGTCTTCACCCTGACAGGTGTGGCCACATGATCAACCACCAATCAATAATAATAATAATGATAATAACGGTTAATAATATTATTATTACATTCAATTCTTGTCATTAACCATCGATTGCTGTTCATTTTTGCGCCTCATCCGAACAACTTCTCTCTGTTATTCTTTCCTGCAGCTACCTGGGTGGGAGGAGGGATGATTGTGGGCACAGCTGAGGGTGTGTATACTCCCTCCATGGGACTTCAGTGGGCAGCCGTCATGACAGTGGCATACAGTGTGTCATTTTGTTTGTGTAAGTTGAATGTTCTATCTGTGTTGTTGTTAACGGTATGACTGACACGTCTGCTGCGTCTGACTGTCTCTGATGTTGGTGTTTTTCTTTTTATCCAGGTGGTCTGGTGTTTGCTAAACCCCTGCGAGAACAGCGGTGTGTGACAATAATGGACCTTTTCTACGCCAAGTATGGAAGAGTGCTCACAGCCGGCCTTTCTCTGTTTGGACTTGCCATGGATGTAATGAGCATGCCCAACATTCTCATTGGTTTAGGTGAGTTACAGACAAAGAGACACAGACTGGAGATGTGCAGAAATCTACAGGCTCTCTGTCTCTGACAGGAGGAACCATGAGCGTGGTCCTGGGTTTGTCCTACACCCTGTGTATCTGGGTCTCTGCTGCCGTCGCCATCATCTACACCCTGCTGGGTGGTTTCTACTCCGTGGCCTACACCGACGTCGTACAGCTGACTCTGATATTCTTTAGTTTAGTGAGTTTGTGGTACTCAGCGATACAGAACAGTCAGTGCGTGTTACTCATTCATCTGCTTATGTGTCTCCGCAGTGGCTCTGTGTTCCCTTTGTCTTGCTGAACCCCAGCTGTTTGGACATTGGCCTCACACTGATGAACAACACCTTACACACTCCCTGGATAGGTGACCTGGAAGTGAAGAACATTGGCCTGATGATTGATGAATTCCTATTCTTTGTAAGCTGAGGTTCTCAGTGACCAGCACAGTATTAACAGTTACAGTGGAACCTCGGTTTTTAAACTTAATTCGTTCCTTCGTTACTGGACCCCAGATGACCAAAGTCTGAACAGGGACACCCAGACACACTTCTGGGGGGATTGTGAGGTGTTCCCAGGTCAGGCTAGCCAAAGAAGGGAGGATTGGGGGAGGAGTACAGTACACTGTGTGTAGTGAGAGAAAGGGAGGATTGGGGGAGGAGTACAGTACATTGTGTGTAGTGAGAGAAAAAGAAGAGGGTGGAGTTAGAAGTCAGAGAATTTATGGTGAAGGCTGGGACAGTGACTGGTGGATGGACTACAGGAACAGTTGAGTAAGGTTAACGAGTTGCTGAGGTGAATGTGATGCAAGAGTTCCAGGTAAGTCTAGATGTGTCTTGAGAAAGTGTGTCCAAGGGTGACTGGGGTTGGGCTTGTTAAGTTGTTAAGTTAATAGGTTATCACAGACTGAGGTTTTTACTTTACAATGTAGAGATAACACACAGCAGTATCTTTTCAGGCCCTTGGGAGTCTGGGATTTCAGTGCCTCCACCAGAGAACCATGGCCGCTTCTTCTTTAACCACCGCCAAGCTCATGAGTGTGGCTGCTGCCTTCGTTTTTCTTGTCTTTGCAATCCCTCCCATCCTCTTTGGAGCAGCTGCTGCATCTGTAGGTAAGTCTTTTAACTGGATACTGTGTTGTTGCAGCCCTGGAGCTAATGGACACATGTCTGTCTACTTTAAAAATCCAAAAAGAATGAACTTAATTTAGATATCAGCCACAGATCAAAAACAGAGAGTACTCAGTGTCACCCTCTAGTGGCTACCTGCTACTTCTTTCTACATGTGAAGAAATATTAAGGCTGCTCTGGGACTTCATCCCACCGTGTGAATATTACCTGTTCCTCAGATTGGAACCTGACCTCCTATGGTTCTCCATCTCCATATGAACGTGGAGAAGCAGCTCTGATCCTGCCCATCACCTTGCAGCACCTCACTCCGTCTTTCATCTCAATCATTGGTACTGGATGTGTGGCTGCTGCTGTGATGTCATCAGTTGATTCCATCTTGATTTCTGCTGTTTCAATCTTCACCAAAAACATTTACAAGAACATCCTGAGGCCACAGGTGAGAAGATGAACCTGGAAAAGGTACAGTTACCAAGCATTTGGACCACTCTGACTCTTCTCCACTTTCTTCTCCAGGCCTCAGACAGAGAGATTCGGTGGTTGATCCAGGCTACAATGTTGGTTGTCGGTTTGGTTTGTACGTTACTGACCAACGTGACCAAAAGCACCCTGTTGTTCTGGTTTCTCACTGCTGAAGTGGCCTACATCGTGATCTTCCCTCAGCTGCTCTGCATTGTCTTCTTCAACATCTCCAATGGTTATGGAGCAGTGATAGGCTGTGTGGTGGGATCAATGCTGAGACTGCTGAGTGGAGACACATCACTGGGACTGCCAGTGGTTCTCTGCTTCCCAGGATGTGTCCTTGAAGATGGAGTTTTGGTCCAGTATGCTCCAGTAAGGACCATCTCCATGCTGTCAGCCATTGCTGCCATCCTGTTCTTCTCCTACCTGTCGTCTGTGCTCTTCAACAAAGGCCTCCTCCCTGAGAAGTGTGACGTGTTCAGGGTGAAAGCTCAGCAGTCACTCCAGCAGATTAGTCCTAAAAAGCAGACTGACTCTGAAAAAACAGATTTTGAGACTAGAGTTTGAAGAAGCTTGTCATTTAACAAACATAACTATATTTAAATTGAAGTTTCATTATTATTATTATTTAATTAAGTTTATGGCCTCAGATCAATAAAAGTTAACTCTCTACCTATCAGACTGAAGTCAATATATATTTATTGTAGCTTTTTTCAGCCCCTGAATAAAACTGTTTTCTTGTTATCATTCTTGTGAAGGTAAAACCACAATGAAGAACGTGCTGGTAAAAATTAAAATAAAAAAAAAATGTCCAGGAATAATCTCGTCACTCACCATTTTAAAAGCGCGTGTGACTGTGATCTGTATTTACTTCAGGTTCTCCCATTGGAAACATGAAAAATTGTCAGAGTGACGAACAGACGGACATGATTGACACAACCGTTTTCAAAATTCGAAAAACCTCGCGAGACCTAAATACAGCCAATCAAAAGCTACTTTAGAGAAAACACGGAAGTGGGTTTTAAAAAGCCGGTCATCAAAAGCTACTTTAGAGAAAACACGGTGAAAAGTGGGTTTTAAAAAGCCGGTCTTTTAAAAATAAATAAAAATAAGAAGACCAGAAATTAATATAGGAAAAATTCCGGTTTCACGATTTTACTAGACCAGAAATTAATATAGGAAAAATTCACGATTTTACACCCGTTAGTTACATTGTGACTTGATCTCATGTTCTCGTTACGAGTAGCAATAAAGTTTATTTTTCACAGCGAACGAAGTTAGTCATTAGCTGTTTAGCATGTCCCTGCTAACGTAGCTTTTCAGTATCTCCCCCGGGGCGAGGCTGACCGAGGCGTTAGATTTAAAGTTAAAAGTATTCTCATTCTCTTTGACAAACCTGTGAGTTTAATTGATAAATATATTACACGAATACATTTCCAACACCAATAGGGGGCAGCATCCCCCTAAAGATACTTCCTAAGTTTAAACGTATTAATAAGGATAGAAGGATAAAAGTATTTTACCTGAAGGCTGTACGAGGCTCATACAGTTTATTTTCTGGACTACCACACCATCAAGTCCACACAAAGTCAGGTCGTTTTTAAGAGAGAAAAACTAGATTCTATGTTTTAATTCTTTCTTTTCACCACCTCACCAAACTATACAGTAGTTTTCAGGATGAACGTATGACTTGGACAAATATTTTTAACCACTAGGCGTCAGTGTTCTCCACTGTTGGTATTCTTGGGTTTTCCCCTGTGATGCGGATGAAAACGCTGTGCTGTGACTGGCTGTGTCTTCTGTTTGAAACCAAACAGTTGTTTTAGTTTTGCTTCTCCCTCTGCAGCTCTTCCTTCCACATCAGCTATTTAATACAGACTAGAGAAAGATAAATCTGCAGGGATGTTGATTTAGGGTTTTGTTCTAGATTTGGTAGAGAGAATTAAATGGTTTTGGTTCAGAGCCAGAAGCAGTGAAGGGCGAGTTTCCTGTGAACGGTAACAGAACATTCTGTGTCATGATGTCTTTGATGACAGAACAGTTTTGGCTATATATAGCAGCGGGGTGTATTCATAAATATTATTGATAAAAATTGGAAAGAAATAGTGATGGGAAAAAAAAGTAGAAAGTAGAAAGATGGTTTGAGGTGATGAGAGAAAAGCACACAAACAGTTTGTCAAGAAGTGAGTGCTGAAAATAAACAGAACCAGGAGGCACCGCAGATTTGCAAGTCTGTAGTTGTTGTGACAGAACCTGTAGCCGTATCTGTGAACTGATCTGTCCTGGAGCGTTAGTCACCTTCTCTCATTATCCAAATATCTGTCTGCACACACACACGTACAGCTGAGACACACACACACACACACAGATACTGAATTAAACTTGTTTCCTGTAGACACACTAACATTAGCATTTATAAACATGTTCATAATTTATCATGAACACATGGAGAACACCATCTACCCCCATAAATGTAGCATAAGCAGATAATGCAGCAGAGTCTGGCCAACAATATTACACTCACACAGTGGTTGAATGTGAAGTCTCTGTGTTGTTGCAGAGCTGGTTATTATCTACACCAGTGAAGAAGATACAGAACAAGAACAGTTGACTGGTTTGAACATTCTTCCGAGGAACGTCCCATTGTTTTGGGTTACTAACCCTTTGTTTAAACACGTTTTCCAGGTGTAACGTATGTGAACACAAATAGAAGACAAAGAGTACCAGGTCTTGACGCTAAGCAGACGGTTAATCACAGTGGATGTCCTTACGTGATTGGCACCATGATCATCTATCAGGGCTGCTGGGGGATCAGTCAGTCAGTCACCTTCTGATTTCAAAGCCCGATGCCAAAGACGTGGCTCTGGTCTAATTGTAAAAGTCGGGTCATCAAAACATGAGGTCACTCTGCAATCATATGGCTACGTTCATTGTATATGTGGTTTGTTGGGGTCAGGGGCTGTAATTCACATGTGTTTTTGGTTAAGACTCCTGCGGAGTGACAGCTCCCAGAGCCAGCTGTTCTGTCCTGTGGTCTGTGGGCTCCGCTCCGTACGTGTGAAGCTGTAATTATTATCATGGTTGTTATTTTTTCTTCCACTCTCATCTGAGGCCCTGGGGTAATCTTTACTGATGAAATGTCTGTCAACCTGCCAAAAGGAAGTGATGTCATTTGCCTGGCGGTTCACCAGCAATCTCAAAGGTCGTAGGTCTGCCTCGTCAGAGGCGAGTGTGTGTTTGTGTGTGTTTGGCTGCGTGTGCACTCTACACCCCTGGGAGTGGGGTGGAGAACCAAGGAACACATGTGATAATGTTTTTATTTTTCTAAAGACTAATGATGTGAAATGTCTTTGTTTTAACGTTAGCGCCAATTGGTCTGAATAGCCACGTAATGATTGGACCAAGTGTTTAAGAAGCAGAATTATATTTTATTGACAGCGTTTTCGAAGACTGCAGTGGGTCATGTCCTGTGTCAGTGAGTCATATATATATATATATATATATATATATATATATATAAATATATATAAATGTTCCACACTTCCACTTCTCAGAATGATCATGTTTCCTTCTTCTAGTTATTTGTTCATTTAATCAATGTTGACCTTTACCCCCAGAGATGAGGGTTTTAATTAATTAATTAATTCAAGTCAGTGTCAGTTGACCTGGATATAATAATAATAATAATAATTGTGCATATAATTTGCATGCTCTAAATTGAACTCTGAAATGAAAGTTTAATGGTGCTGAGGAGTGGAGGTGTGTTCTGGCTCAGGAGCACGTGGCAGCTGGAAACTTGTTTGTGTGTTAAAGCAGGTGTTCTGGAGAGCTGGAGTGAGCGTGTGGTTCTGGAGTCCAAACCTCCGCCCTAGTCCCTGGCCTCGACCCAGGCCTAGTGAATGACCACATCCTTTACAACTGGGCCGCCTACCAAGATGGATGTGATCAATGACGATGAGTGAGAGCAGGTGTGTGTGTGTGTGTGTGATTAATGCTCAATCACAGCCCTCTAGTGGAGAGAAGTTGTGTGTCCGGACGGAGCGGCAGAATCTACCTGTTTTAGTTCTACCTGTTTGACTGAGCCAAGGTCGCTCCTCCTCCTCCTCCTCCTCCTCCTCCTTCTTCAGAAGTGTGTTCGTTCTGGGCTTCCACAGTGGTGAACACGTCAAAGCTTGTACTCAGTTTGAGCCTAAAGTTGTCAACCAATCAACTTCCTGTTATGGCAAAAACACAAAAAGATAATAGTTGTGTGTGTGTGTGTGTGTGGATGATGGTGTGCCTGGATCTGTCTGCGTCGACGTCCAGCCTATCGCTCCCCGTGGGCACATGAAGGGCAACGTGGTGAGTGGGGGCTGGGAGCTGCTGACATGACCGCCCGGTTCAAAGAGATGGAGCAGGAGATGCAGGCTGAGAGCGAACAGTGCCGTCTTTATATTCAGCTCGGCTGAGCCTGGGAAAACTCTGCAGCCCCCCCCGCCCCCCCCCGCTCCGGCCTGTGGTTACAGGCAGGGAGTCAAGTGGACTTACAGGTGCTGCACAGTGCTCAGGCTGCGTGATGTCCTCAGACCTGTAATCTGTCGAAAAAATGATTCCACGGCTCCACTGAGAGCAGAGTGCTGATGGATGGACCAGAGAGTGACCGGGGCCAGTGACGTGTGGGCAGGTTGTCACGGTCCAGTCTGTCGTCCCAGTGTGATCCTAGTCTCAGACTCTGTTCCATCTGAACATCAGGTTACTAACACTGGAACAGAGCGATCTAGATTTGGAATCACTAGAGAAGAAAAAAAAGGATTTGATTTTTTGGAAAAACAAATAATCGTTATCTTAAATACTGGCAAATATATGCAGTTCTCATCCAATCAACAATTTGGAGGTTTGAATGCAACACAAAAAGAATCAACACTGTGAATATTGGACTGTTAATTGTTAGTAAAAACTCCATACAGTGCTGTAGAATATCGTCAAAGTACAAAGTTCTACAGTAGAAACAAAGGTGACATCAGACCTCGTGTTTATGACCTGCTGTCCATCCACTCACACGTCGGTCTGTGCTGTTGTTCTTGTTCCCCAGCCATCTTGTCTAACGCCTCCAGTCCTAGTAGCCCCTCCACCCCACAGGATCTATATATTTAAACGTTAACATGTTTATGCCACCTCTCTGACTCCTGGCTGACTATGATAACACAGGTTTACACTGGCACAGCTGAGCAGGTGTCGTTTTTTTCTTTTCTTTTCTTTTCTTTTTTTCCTTTTTATTTATAGTGTTTTATGTTTCACTGCAGACAGGAATGAATGTGTCTATTCACTGAGTGAAGTGTGAGGAAAAGTTTGGGCAGTGGAACGACACAAGCTCACTGTTGGTGTGTGTGTGTTTTATAAGAAGAACTGGCTAAGTCTGCCTGCCACACGCTCTGCCAGTGACTGATGTGACCGATCCAGGGGGGAGAGGGTGGGGGGTGGGGGTGGAGGGGGAGCCACTTGTTTGTGTGAAGCTGACATCACTCCCTCCAGTACTGAGGGGTTGTTATTGTTGCCTTCTCAGTGGAGCTGCAGCGACTGCACACTCTTGAATGGAACTTCACATCACGGCCACTCTGTCATTTAGGCTTGTAAACACAGCAGGCAGATAAACAGACTGACGTTGGCAAACACACAGTCACACTGACTGGC